GGAAGGAATTTCCTGGCCTCGGCTCAAGCCAGAGAAGCCGGTTTTAAAGCCAGAGAAGCCAGTTTTAAACCAGAAAAGGAAGGAATATCCTGGCCTGGGCTCAAGCCAGAGAAGCCAGTTTTAAAGCCAGAGAAGCCAGTTTTAAGCCAGGGAAGGAAGGAATTGCCTGGCCTCAGCTCAAGCCAGAGAAGCCTGTTTTAAACCAGAGAAGGAAGGAGTTTCCTCCGCTTGCTTTCCCCCACTTCTGGAGTAAGACAACTACTTTCAAAGTAAAGACCACCCAATGGGAGTCCATCAATAAGTCCCAGGTACTGTAGACTTTATTTCAGAGGAAGGAAAGGTCAAAGCTCCACTTCTGGGTATTTATCCCTTGCCTGGAACTGCCGTCATTGCAGGACGGAAGATAGGTAGTCGTTTGTTGAGTACTCTCGGTGCATCTTTATGTATCTTGGGAAACATTTCCTTATTTGGACTGTCGTTCCCATGCTGCCTGGCAGATTCTGAGATTTGTTTGGAAAACAATGAATCCATGGGGAGGCTAATTTAACTAATTTACGAGGCCATAAAAATCTCCAGCAAGCATGCGGGGAATGAGGGAGTACTTCATCAGTGTTGCAGATGGACGGTGAAGCGACAGCTCCCCTGGTGGCCAGAATACCCTCATGAAAAAGCTGGAATGTTAAATAGCCTCTGACTGGCTGTCTCTATGTGTTGTGTGTCTATGGCATTGAATGTTTGCCATGTGTATGTACATTGTGATCTGCCCTGAGTCCCTTGCTGTAAATAAATAAATACATAAATCTTGTTTCCCGTTCTTGTCTTAACAGCTAGGCTTGGATATGGAGGAGTTGCAAGAGATTGAGGAAGACGCCGGATTGGGGAACGGAGGCCTTGGGCGATTGGCAGGTGAGCCTCAAGGAAATGCTTCTGCTTTGAATACAGAAAATCCTACTTTGAGTTTCCAGAGTTGAATTCGTTTTTTAAAAATGCATTTTATTTTTTATTATAATCAATTATATGAGTAGATTTTTATACCTTTAATCTAATTTAAAGCAGCCGCGTATAGTGAGCAGACAGATAGCGAAACCTGAAATGTGGATAGTGCAGTGTTTCTCAACCTGGGGGTCGGGACCCCTGAGGGGGTCGTGAGAGGGTGTCAAAGGAGTCGCCAAAGACCATCAGAAAACATCGTATTTTCTGTTGATCATTGGGATTCTGTGTGGGAAGTTTGACCCAATTCTATTGTTGGTCGAGTTCAGAATGCTCTTTGATTGTAGGTGAACTATAAATCCCAACAACTACCCAAATGTCAAGGTCTATTTTCCCCAAGACCCCACCAGTGTTCACATTTGGGCATATGGAGTATTCGTGCCAAGTTTGGTCCAGATCCATCATTGCCTGAATCCACAGCACTCCTCTGGATGTAGGTGAACTACAACTCCCAAACTCAAGGTCAATGCTCACCAAACCCTTCCAGTGTTTTCTGTTGGTCATGGGAGTTCTGCGTGCCAAGTTCGGTTTAAATCCATCGCTAGTGGAGTTCAGAATGCTTTTTGATTATAGGTGAACTATAAATCCCAGCAATTACAACTCCCAAATGACAAAATCAATCCTCCCCCCAACCCCACTAGCATTCACATTTGGGCATATTGGGTATTTGTGCTCAATTTAGTCCAGTGAATGAAAATACATCCTGCATATCAGATATTTACATTACAGTTCATAACAGTAGTAAAATCACAGGTATCAAGTAGCAACGAAAACAATATTACTTTTGGGGGTCACCACAACATATGGAACTGCATTAAGGGGTCACGGCATTAGCAAGGTTGAGAACCACTGGGATAGTGAGTTCCGATAAGCAGATACCGGTACCGGCAGCAGTCCGCCTATCGATCCGTGTACCTGGCGAGACGAAGAAGCTATCCCAATGTTCCCCAATGAAAAATATCACCAAGTTACGTATTTATTTAACTCGGCTGAAATGATGCCAGCTCGCGGTAATCGCTCCAAAGGAAGCTGAGATGCCATAACATGGAAAAAGAGACATTTTTATACAGTACAGTCTTGAAATTCCCACGCCGTGAATCCTGTTAACATCACAATCGGCTGGGTGGACTTCCCTGGTCAGGCAGCACCTGCCAGCCAATCAGAAAGCATTCCCCGCTTCCAAATCTATCTATACATATAATAAAAGTCAAAGTTTGTATGCGGCGGACATGTGGCGGGAGGAGTATGTGCCAGCGTTCTGATTGGCTGCTGCTGTGGTGCTATTTGCATATGGTCTCTGATTGGCCAGCTTCAATAGGAGCCCCTGGTGGAGAAAAGGGTTCATTACAGAAACGGGGACATGAGAGAAGGAAATTTGCATATGGTCTCTGATTGGCCAGCCTCAATTCCAAGATTCCGAGATGACAAAGAGAGGAAAGGAAAAGGCCAGAGGGGGCGGAGTCAGAAAATTACCAATACAGACCAAACTAGGCACACAAAGCCCCCATGACCCACTCTGCATCCTACTGCAGTTTGGAGGAGGATGAACCATGGATTATGGGACTTGCAGTACCATCACTCACATTCTGAGACCGCTGTTAACCGCATCCAATGACTGATCAGGACCAAACTTGGCACATAGACCTCTCATAACCCACTTTACGTCCTGGTGTGGTTTGGCCGGGGATGGACCATGGATTATGGGACTTGCAGTACCTTTGCTCAATTTTTGAGACCACTGCAACCCTCATCCAATTACTGATAAATACTAAACTTGGCACACTGAGTCTCCATGATGCACTCTACATCCTGATACAGTTTGGAGGAGGATGCCCCATGGACTATGCGATTTGCAATACCTGCACTCCCTTCCTAAGACCATTACAACTGCCAAAAATGATGGATCAGGACCACAATTCACACAGAGAGCCCGCATGACCCACTCTACATCCTGGTGCGGTTTGGAAGAATTTGGCAATGGATGATGGCACTTCCAGTCACTTCACTCACTTCCTGAGATCACTGAGACCCTAGCCAATAACTGACCAAGACCAAACTTTGCACACAGAGTCCCCATGACCCACTCTACATCCTGGTGAACTTTCGAGGAGGACAGACCATGGATGATGGGACTTCCAGTACCTTCACTCACATTCTGAGACCTCTGCGAACCTCATCCAATGACTGATCAAGATCAAACTTGGCACATAGAGCCCCCATGACCCTATCTACATCCTGTTTCAGTTTGGAGGAGGGTGGGCTTTGGATGATGGGACTTGCAGTACCTTCACTCACTTACTGAAACCACTGCCACCCTCATCCAATGACTGATCAAGACCAAATTTGGCACACAGAGCCCCCATGACCCACTCTACATCCTGCTGCTGTTTGGAGGAGGGTGGACCATGGATGATGGGACTTCAAGTACCTTCACTCACTTCCTGAAAACAATGCAGCCGTTATCCAATGACCAATCAAGACCAAACTTGGCATACAGAACCACCATTACCCACTTTCTTTAATAACCCGGGCAGCGCCGGGTCCCCAAGCTAGTTACTAATAATGGCGATTCTCCCGTTGCTTCCCCCAGCTTGCTTTCTGGACTCGATGGCCACGTTGGGCCTGGCTGCGTATGGCTACGGGATCCGCTACGAATTCGGGATCTTCAACCAGAAGATCTGCGGCGGCTGGCAGCTGGAGGAGGCGGACGACTGGCTGCGTTATGGCAACCCCTGGGAGAAAGCCCGCCCCGAGTACATGATCCCTGTCCATTTCTACGGCCGCATCCAGCATGACCAGGACGGGGTCAAATGGGTCGACACACAGGTAAATTACCAGCAGGCCTTCCCATTCTCCCATTTTTTCTGAATTACAAAGATTCCGACTGAACCTAACCATGCCTAGAAAAAACCCATCCACTCTACCAGCCTCATCTTCATCAGCTGGCTGAACCACAACAATTATTACAAAGGATGGAGGGCTATTATTATTATTATTATTATTATTATTATTATTATTATTAAGGCTGGGAGACCGTGAGGTTGCTTTCCTTGCATGGCAGAAGGGGATTTGACTGGATGGCCACTGAAATACGGTTAAGTTTTGGTTGATTAAAATTGTTCTTCAAAAGTTTGCCCATACCTGATGTATATACATTATATATACTATATATATATATATATATATATATATATATACACACACACACACACACACACACACACACACACACA